AAATTTTTAAAGCATTGTCTTATTTTTTGAAATTTTAACCTGAAAAGATTCTAAGAGCAGCTTTTTAGACTTCGTTGCTACAATAATTTTTAGCCGCATAACTTTAAGGTCAAGCATTTTTAATTGGTAAATGTGTCAAAATTGTGGAGTTCATTTATTTTTAAATATTTGATACTATTTTTAAGTCCATACTCGCCCTTGGTCTATCACTTTCACATCTAGCTATATTTTTTGATGCCAAAATTAGGACCGAACACCGATAAATCTTCATATCTGCCTTCACTTCCTCGTGAAATTCTTGGTAAAGTGAGACGAATCACTTTACACCTTTCACATTCTACAGGAATGGGTGTTTCAGTTACAGGAGGTTTAGAGCATGGCGTTCCTATAATTATTAGTGAAATACATTCAGGCCAACTGGCAGAACGCGTTGGTGGTATTTATGTTGGAGATGCTATTTTGGCTGTAAATGGCATTGATCTCCGAGATAAAAGACACTCGCACGCAGTTCAAATTTTGTCCACTCAAACGGTATGATAGTCACGCTTTATTGATCTTAAGAGATCATTTATTTTATTTTTTATCCTTTAAATTAACCAATACTATACAAATAGTTGTTTCTCATTTCAATGTTTAGGTAGCACGCATTTTGAATGTGTTTACGGTCTGGCAAATATTAATCTGAACATCTCAGCTAACAGGCTTTCAGTAGTAAAGAAATATTTAGAACATCTATGATTTACATAGAGGAGCCAACTTTCTTAAAATATAACTAGATAATAATGCTGAAAACAATGTAGAGAATCCACGCTACAAATATGAAGGTCTTGAGTCATAATCATGCCTTTATTTCTTTATTTTGCCCACCTAATTCTCTGACTTCAAAGAGAAAGTTTTTATCCTTATACATAATAATTTGGCAGAAAAGAGACTTGAAGAATTAGTCAAAAATGTCAGCCGACTTTATTTAAGGGGCAGTTAAATTTAGACTAAAGTGTGATGTCAATTAAATCCTAACCTATTCTACGAATGTTATGGGCAGAGTGAGCCTTATTTTAAGATCTATGCTCACGATTTTTATTGCCACTAAGATTTCTTTGGCTGAGGCTTTGCTACGCTCGTAGATTAATTTGAATCGTTTCCTTTCAAGAATAACTATCGTGGGCACCTCTTAACTGCATCCGTTGGAATTTTCAGATTTATTTTCTTGCTTTCAAATGTAACTTAGTTAATTCCTCGAATAT